CAACACAAAAACAGACGGAGAGCTGAAAAACTAGGGAGGTGTTTCCACACCCAAGGAAGGAAGTGCCATCCACTGCGTGGGTGCCCTTCAGAGCCACCGAGTTCTCTGTGTCACCAGACACTGGCACATGAAGCTCTGCGGTTTATGTGGGATCACACAGCTGGGAACCATGCCCGCCTCTCCTCACACTCACTCGGGGTCCAGCAACTCTGTGGACTGCTTGAGGAAGCAGAGGAAAGCCACGGGCCCGGCAGCAGATAAGGCCTTTGTAACTGCAGGACGGGCTTTCTCCCTGGCGGACTGATTTATAGAAGGGCCATTTCCTTGGTTTGTCTCCTCACGAGCTTGTATACTCTGGGTCTGCAAAGGCCTCCTTCCCCTGAGATCACATCCAGATGGATTTCAAAGGAAGGAAATGGTTTCAGTCAAGTGACAATTAGCAGAATTCCTGCTGATTAATTTTCCCTTATTGTCTCCACCAAAGGCAATGGGCATTTATTTATCTCAGGGCGATAAATCTCACCGTGTCACTTCAAGACAAAGGTTTACATTTAGTTATACACACACAGCGTATGGCTTCCGTAACACCCAACACTATGCAGAGCCTTTTATTCTGAGTGAAAATGGGCGTGGAATGAGACGCTTCTCACCCAGCTATTACCCGTTACCCCCACAGAACATGCTGCTTTCTGGAGAAAGTGCTCGGCCTGTTTTCTGTTTTCCAGAAAATAATGCTTTTCTGCTGTGCTCAGCTTGCTCAGCTTTCCATACTCACTTTGCATGTGTAGCAGAGTGTAGCCCTCCTCTTCCTCCTTCCTCTTTTTGGGGCACCGAGGGTTAAGCTCAGGCTTCAGTGTTCTACCTGACCTGCAGCCCACCCTTTTCTGGACCTCGCTGGGCTGCCAAGGCAGCCAGAACTCACTCTGTAGCCCACTGGAGCCTTGAACTTGAGAACTTTCTCTCTCTGCCCCCTGGGTAGTTGTGCTCTGTGTGTGTGTGTGTGTGTGTGTCTTGCACTCTCTCTCTGTGTGTGTCTCACATCTTGGTTTACTGAGGTTAAAAAAGGCAACAGCCCTGTGCTCCCCACCCTCCCCAAGGAGCCCTGGGCCCGCCTGTGTCTGTACCTCACCCTGTCTTCCTTCCCTGTCAGTCACAGTTAACCTACCGTAACTGGCAGTCTTCACTGTCACCTTGACTAGATTCCAGTCGCTGAGGAGACATGCCCATTGGTGTTTACAGGGTGGTCTAACGAGGAATGAGGACCCAGCCTGCCTGTGGAGTCCAGACCTGGATAAGATGGAGAAATGGTGAGTGCCAGCCTCCGTCTCCCTCCGCCTGCCGACTGCGTGATGGAGCAGCTGCCACAGCAACCCTGCCCTGTGGACTGCATCTCCTCAGCTGTGAGCCCAGATGCACTCTCCATGAGTGTGTTTTTTCAGCCTCTGGTCAGCAGTGAGAAGAGTAATGTATCTGCCTTGCTGGACACCAGTCCCTTCATTTGTTTTCTGGATACTTTAACACTCTGCCAAACACATTAATGACAGCCAAAACTGCCTCATTTTAAGGCTACTTTTCTAAACTGAAATGCGAAGCCCTGGATTTTCCCAGTCCTAAGCCTGATCTACAGCAAATGGAGGCACGCCCCCCTCCCCTTTATACTCAGTAGCCTTGGTTCAGTTTTGTATTTTAAAAGAGATTTATTTTTAAAATTTCATGCATGTATTTTGCCGTCCTATATAAGTGTAAGTTCTATGTGTGCAGTGTCCATAGAGGCCAGAAGAGGGTCTTGGATCCTCTGGAGCCGTCATCAACAGGCGATTTTGAGTTTCCACGTGGGAGCTGGGAACCAGCCTGGGCCCTCCACAAGGGTGATAAGTGCTCCTAACTACAGAGCCCCAGCCCATTCCCCAGATTCTGTATTTCAAATCAGATCCTGTCTTGTAAATTTCAGTTTCTTACATGTAAATTAATTTTTTTAAGATTTATTTATTTATAATTTATACACTATCATGCCCGCATGCCAGAAGAAGGCGCCAGACCTCATTATAGATGGTTGTGAGCTACCATGTGGTTGCTGGGAATTGAACTCAGGACCTTTAGGAGGAACAGTCAATGCTCTTAACCTCTGAGCCATCTCTCCAGCCCCTAAATTAATTTATTTATGTCACCAATATCAAGCATCTGGACCTTCTCTGGACTTTGAAAAGCTAATGTCTCTCCTGGCCCCACAGCGTGTCTGACGGCCTCATCCCTTTTCCAACATGTGACTTGGGACTCACTTTGCTCATCTTCTTTTCTCCCCACACCCAGCCAAGGGTGGCAGGTCTGTGTCCTCTCCATCTCTCCCCCAGCCTCAACACTGCTGTTTCTTACCTGCACTACAGGGGTTCCCCTGTCCACTTTTTCATTGGCAAACATACATTGATTCAAGGTTGCTGTCTGTGAGATGTATTCCAGGGTCTTCACTGCTGACGTGGTCAAAGACTGCTGGCACTGACATCACTCCAGGGCGGCCCTGGGGGCAGTCTTGCATCATGAGATCCTCGTATCACTTTTGACATCAGGTACGGTCTAGACTAGATGTGCTCCGAATTTATTCTCTTGTTTTCAGGAGATAAGAAGAAGGGGTCCTAGTTGCAAATCACCTGCAGGGGCCCAGCCTTGCTCCGTGGGTGTTCTGAACAAGCAGCCTCTGCACGCTGTCTCCTGTCCTGCCTCTTTTTCTCAGCACATCCATCCCTGCATCCGTCCGTCCATCTGTCCATCCACCCACCCACCCACCCTCCCATCCACCCACCTACCCACCCATTCGTACAACCAATAAACCAGCTGCAAGTGTTTTATGAATGCCTATGTGTAAAACATGTGCTAAGTTCTGGAGACAGATAAGTACGGTTTTTGCTATTTTAAAGTTTCGATATACGTATACACATACATACAAAACAAACCATGTACATGTATGAATCCTACCCATGTTCACGTGTCTTTATAAGTGCTCCCCAGACAGGATAAAGAAAGGCAAAGCCTAATACTTTGTTATCTGATAAAACTTCTCCAAATCTAGCCCAGACTCAGCTGAACCTTGGGGGTCTTCTTGTTCAATCCAAGATGCCTCCATCTCCTACCGCTGGACAGGTCAAAGGCCTGCTCTCCTGACTTCTGAGCAAACCCCAAGTCTAATTTAATCATGGCAGACATTCTATGAAGGATATGAGACAAAGGACAGGGCAGGGGTAGAGCTTGCCCTGGGCTTTACTGGCGTGCTAGGCCTTTCCTGGGTCTGGTGAAGAAGTTGAGGGTTGGTGAGAATGGAGTGAAGTCAGTTTCAGGGAAGAGACTCCTTCATGACATTCTTTCCCTCACTTCCTGGGCAGACCTCCTCATCACTCCCTTCCTCTTCTCTGCACTGTCCTCGCTGCCCTGGTCTCCATGGATCCCTCTGCTCCTGAGCTCTCCCCACAGCATCCTGGATGTCTTTCTTGGACCTCCGTATTTTACTTCCATCTACAAATCCTGGCTTTTTCTACTGGGCATCCAGCCGGTGACTCCTCTAGCCTGTCCTCAGTGCCGTTTACTGCTCTCTCTCACAGGCCCACTCTGCCTCCCCTCATATGTAGCTTTAAAAATTATTTCTTTTATTTTTTGGGATTATAATGTAAGACCTGGGGTCTCACAGCTCAGGAGTTCAAGATCGCGCCCTTCCCAGAAACTCTCACAGACCACGCAACTCATTGCAAAAGCAAGAGGTTTAATTTAACCATTGCAGAATGGGGCCACCCCTGCCGGTCAGCAAAGAGTGGCACCAGGAGACAAAGGCCTTTAGGTTTTTAAAAGAAAAATTGCGGGAAATTTAAAGTTGCAGTTTTGGCAACTTAGGGTCAGATGAGGAAGCTATAAAGTAAGATAACTGGTTAGTCTTAGGTGCTCAAGCTTGGCCAGTCCTGCCAAGTGTGGATGCAGCTGCAATTAAAGGTGGGGGTGGTTAGCTCATCCTTGAAGCTTAGGGCTTCGGGCTCTTGGCTAGAAGTCAAAAGCTACTCAGAAGTCTGGGTTGGTTGCTAAGAAACACTATCTTGAAGACAGGGGTCTGGTCGTTCTTTTTGCTGAGTGAAGGTCGTTGCTTGCTTGCCCTTTTTTTCTGTTCTCACAGATAGGGTCACATTTCTCCATTCTCTGGAAAGGTATTAAGAGGCTTTAGCTTAACTTGAACCTAAAACTCAAAGCTATAGGCTTTAGAAGACATACAGGTTACAAAGTTAGTCTAACCCTTTCAATAATATTATCACATTTCCCCCCTCCACTCTCTCCTTCCTCCAAACCCTCCGTATACCCCTTCCTGCTCACTGTCAACTTCATGGCCTCTGTTTCCTAGAATTGTGGTTACATACACATGTGTGTGTACTCGTTCCTGAGCACCTTCGTGGAACCTGCCGCGTCTGGAGAGTGTTACGTGTATGCGCGTGTTTTCAAGTCTGACCGTTGATAATCAGTTGGCGAGCTCTTCCCTGGGAAGCTTATTTCTCCCTTCTCAACATTCCCTCGTTTCTTAGAGTCCTTTACGTAGGGTTTGAGGCCTACAGGCTCTCCCTGCCAACCTTACCTGTGTGTCACTGTGGTCCTTGTTCTGCTCACTGTTAGACAGCCGTGTTAATGAGATGGGGTAGCTCCGGGCATTCTTAAGGAAACAACTCCGAGCAAACTCCCTGATCCTCTGGCTTTTACAGTCTTTCCTCCCCTTCCTGCATAATGACCCTTGAGCCTTAGGTGTGGGACTAGTAGACGTATCCAGATGTGCCTCTGCCTCCTCTATCTGGAATATCTGTTGTCACTGTCACCTTTCTTGGATGGAAGGGTGTCTAGGCAACTCACAGCTCCGAGGCCTGGGAAGGCACCCCAGCTCTGGGTGGGACAGTGTCCCAATGTTCCTGAGGCAGGGAGCGCAGGAACTGTTGCAACCCAGGTGGTCGTCTCGCCAGCAAGAATGCACACGGACAACAGGATCCTTCTGCAGCAAGCTTTATTGCAGTCAAGCGATGAGAGGAGGAAGACCCCGAGCCCAGGAATGGCACTGCTTATATACACCCTAAGGCGGCGTGTGGTCTATGATTGGCTGCTTACTCATCACCTCACAAGACACCCTGGGCTGGGCCAAGACTTGGCACGCTTTTGCCCTTGCGCATGCGTAATATTACTTGTCTTCCAGGGTCAGAGCCAGATGTCGGCACCATCTTGTAATGGCGTTTTGCCCGGGCACGCCCAAGTGGCTCTCCACATCTCCCCCTTTTTGTTTTATTAGAAGCTGACCAACAAACAAGAAACACAACGGGCGGAAGTAGAGGTTTGATCCCTAGTGTGTGTAAAAGGGGCATTGTACTAGAGCCAGCCACAGGCCCTTCACCTGCATGTGACTCCAGACCCGTCCCGTACCTTTTTCCCAGGGGAAGGATCTTGGGTACAACCTTCATGCAATCAAACATGCTTCCCAGAGAACTGCCTATTATGAGCCTTTCTCTGTGCAGTGCTTAACCTCGCATCCCGAGTGTGAAGAAAATTAGACCATACCACTTGTGACACCCTTCCCTGTGCAATGGAGCTCGACTCCTAGGGGTGCATGGGCTGTCAGCGAAAGGCACTCAGTTTTTTGTCAGCATTGAAAGCCACATTGCGGGGGAGGAACCCTGTTCCATGGCTGCAAACGCTTGAGCAATTACGACCTTGTCACATTTTTGTTGGGCTTTGAGCTTACAGACCAACCAAAGTGAGAACACTAAACCGCAAACTAAGGCAGTGCCAAACAGGCCTACCCCCACCCACTCTTTAAAGAAAGAAAAGGCTGAAGAGATCCAGGAGGAGAGTCCTTCAGTCAATGACAGGTCCACTCGTGTCGAGTTGATGGCTATCACTGCCGCTCACAATGATTCGAGAGTCTCATCGAACCCTTCCGACCACTTTTCTCTGCAGGCACGTCCTTTGGGGAGTCATCTTCAGGTATCACAAGCTTCCGTGTCAAGCGTTCCGGTCACCAAAAGGGATTATCTTCTTCCTGTGGGAAAACACAGACAGCTCCCCTGGATCTTATTAAAATAGGATCCGGGCCTTTCCATTGACCAGTCAGGACATCTTTCCATTTGACCATTTCTTTAGGCTTATCGGGCTCCAGACAATGACGATCTGCTGCCGAACGGCCCTGACTGTCCAAATTTAGAAAATTAAGGGTGAAGAGTGCTATAGAGATAGTCACTCGTGGTACTGAGGGCAGAGCCTCCTCGACTCCCCCTTTTTGTTTTATTAAATAAGATTTGAGTGTGCGATGAGCTCGTTCTATGATGCCTTGTCCCTGAGGGTTATATGGGAGACCTGTCAGATGGTCACCCCCATCTGGGGACAGAATTGTCCAAATTTTTGGGAAGTATAAGGATTTTAGGCTTTCCCCAGGCACTCCATGCCTCGAGGCAATGCTGAATGACATACCTGTTCTTTAACCAGCCTTGTAGCGGCTTCCAGCTTTTCAGAGGAAAGGGGGCATTGAGGAACCCATACGGCCTCCTCTGTGAGCCAAGATATGGGCATGGAACCCGCAATGGCAGCTAATGAAAACCCAGGCCTTGTTTCCCTGCATTACTTTCCTGTGAAATCGGGTGTAATCTCCCTTGTTCCTGTTACCAAGGCCTTTTCCTTTCTTATAACCCATCCTTTTCATTATATCAACAGCTTGTTGAGAGTACTCATTGGTCAATGCCAATCCCAAGTCTTGTAAGATGTCTCTTCCCCAGAGATTAACGGGGAGAGGAAGTACATAAGGTATGAAACTTCCTGTCTGACCCTCTGGTACTTGCCAGGTCAACGGGCGTGAGCTGACTGCAGGGCTGGCTTCATATCCTAACCCTTGTAAGGAATGAGATGATTGTGTAACAGGCCACGCCCTAGGCCACCAATTTGAGGAGATAATGCTCCGGTCAGCCCCAGTATCTAAAATGCCAGTGAAAAGTTTCCCCTCTATCTGTAATTGTAAGGTGGGCCTAGTTTTTAAATCAACCACCAAGTGAGCAAAGTCAGTTCCTGAAGAACCGAACCCTTTGTTGCCCCTTGTCATTCCTGTGGATGGGAAAACATCCTGCAAGCTTGGAAGGAGAACTAACTGGGCAATCCTATCTCCAGGGGAAATGGAAAATATTCCTTGCGGACAAGAACAAAGAACTTGAAGCCTTCCAATATAATCTTGATCTATTATTCCAGGATGGATAATAAGCCTCTTTAGGGTAAGAGAGGAGCATCCGAGTATCAGGCCAACACTTCCCTCGGGCAGAGGGCCCTCAAACTCAACTGGAACGGGCTGAACACCCAATTGGGGCATCAATAAGAACTGGGAGGTGGAACAGAGGTCCAATCCTGCTGATCCTCTTGTTGCTCTACAGCTGGATAGACCCTCCTGTTGCCTGCTTGTGTCCCATATCTTTTGGGGCCCTGGGACCCTGAAACCCGTTTTTTGGAATATTTTTATTCCTCTCATTAGGGGGGGCTTTATGCTGAATAAGTTTTCCCTGAATATCCCTAACTGAACGACATTCATTGGCCCAATGATTACCCTTCCTACATTTGGGGCACAGTCCTGGAACTTTCTTTTGTGCAGTAGCACGGCAATCTCGCTTCAAATGGCCTGGTTTACCACAGCTATAGCAGGTTTTATTGCCTCCTGGACCTGAGCGGCTCTTGCTCTGCAGGATAGCCGCTGCTGGGGCATCATGGTAAATAATTTTTCCTTGAATATCCTTAACCGACCTACACTCATTGGACCAATGGCGTCCTTTTTTACACTTTGGACAGAGACCAGGGATCTTTTTCTGCTGTTTAGTCTGACATTCTCGTTTGAGATGTCCAGGTTTTCCACAGTTGAAACAAACCCTAGAATTCTTTGATTGACCTTGGCTTCTGCTTTGTAAAATAGCTGCCGCTAAACCAGCATTTGTAAGTGGTCCTCCCAGTCCTTGGCAGATTTTTATCCAGTCTGTTAATCCCTTATTTTTCCTTGGGAGGATAGCTGCTTTACATTCGGGGGAAGCATTTTCATAGATTAATTGTTCTATCATTGGCTTAAGTCGTTCCGGATCACCAAAGATCCTGCCTGCTGATTCCGTCATTCGGGCCACTAAATCAGCAAAAGGCTCCTGAGGACCTTGAATTATTTTTGTTAAATGACCTGTGGGTTCCCCCTTTTTTGAAAGTGCTTTCCAAGCTCTAATAGCAGCGGTTGAAACCTGCCCATAAGCTCCCCATTCATAGTTGGTCTGATTGTTGGCATATTGACCTTGTCCTGTTAAGAGATCAAAGGTCCATTCTCTCTGGGGACCCACTTCCAAGGCATTAGTCCGAGCTTGAGCTCGACAGGCGTCATACCATAGTGCCTGCCATTCCATATACTGACCCATGTTAGATAAGGCAGCTTTAATAGTGGTCTCCCAATCATTAGGAGTCATAGCCATGGTGGCAAGTCTCTCTAGCTGCATAATGGTAAAATTAGCATCTATACCATATTTATTGACAGATTCTGCGAGCTCTTTGATCTGAGGGTAATCTACGGCTACATGAGTGCGTCCTCCTTCAACATTTTCCCATACAGGGTACTCGAGAGAAATTTGCCTTCGAGCCTTGGAGGACATAAATGTCTTAGAGCCTCCCCCCGGGGAATAAGGCAGGGGATCAGAGGGAATGGCAGAAGCAACGGGCCGAGAAGAGACAGCACCCCGACTTCCTGCTTTTATTTGCTTTCGATTTTTCCAGGGCGGCCGCTTGTCTGGGTGGTACCTCTCTCTCTCATAGTGAGCTGCTTCCTCTTCTAGATCCTCCTCCTCAGAAGGGGAAAGTCCCTCTGAATCGGAACTGGAAAGTACCAAAGCCTCTAGTTCCTTTAGTGAATACAAAGGCTTCTTTTTACTAGTTTTAGCTGAAAATTCCTCTTTATCTTTCTCTCCCAGGGCGTCCTTTCCCTTATCTTTCTCCTCCTTGGAGGGGTTTAACTGCTTATCCTTATGTCTTTTCTTTCGGGCCCCAAGACGTTTACTTCGCTCTGTTTCTGACATGCTATCCTGTAGTTCCCCTAAAACGGCTTCTCCCTCTAATATAGCGTGGCGGCAATTTGAATCTTGCAAGCAAGAGCAATATCCGCCCACACAAAATAAAAGCAAAGCCAAGAGAACCACTCCTATAGCCACGAGGGGCTCAAGGAACATGTCTCTCAGAGCTTACCTGAGACTGCAGTTCTGAATCCTCCCCCCGGCGGGGGGGTCTCCTCAGCGCCGACGATGGTCGGTAGCCCTGCATCCCGGGTTTCGGCACCAGTTGTTGCAACCCGCGTGGTCGTCTCGCCAGCAAGAACGCACACGGACAACAGGATCCTTCTGCAGCAAGCTTTATTGCAGTCAAGCGATGAGAGGAGAAAGACCCCGAGCCCAGGAATGGCACTGCTTATATACACCCTAAGGCGGTGTGTGGTCTATGATTGGCTGCTTACTCATCACCTCACAAGACGCCCTGGGCTGGGCCAAGACTTGGCGCGCTTTTGCCCTTGCACATGCATAATATTACTTGTCTTCCAGGGTCAGAGCCGGATGTCGGCACCATCTTGTAATGGCGTTTTGCCCGGGCATGCCCAAGCGACTCTCCACATCTGACGTTTTGCCCGGGCATGCCCAAGCGGCTCTCCACACAGGAACCACAGAGCTCTGAGAGGAGGCCTCCTCAGCAGACAGTGCAGCTCTGGGGGAGGGTCACCCCAACCCTGCTGAGCTGAGGAGCCTAGGAGCCTGGTGAAGATCTGATCCAATTAGCTTTAAGCAAACTGTTCAGGTAGACTGAGGCCTTTGGGGTAAGATGTTTGGTGCTTTAGGTTTCTCCTGACAGGAAGTGGCTTGTATCGTGGGCTTTGCCAGAGAGGGGTTCTCAGTTCTGGGCGGGTTGTTCTGTGCTGTCTTGGTTCTCTGTGGCAGGGTCCCTTCCCTGCCAGGTTGCCGCTGGCTCGGTCCACCCTTTTGGCTGACACCCGACAGTGGTGTAACTTGACACTGGTAGTTTTGGGGCTGAGCTGAGCCTGGTGGCTGCCCCTGACTGGCTGGCAGAGCCTGCTCTGCTCCAGTTCCCGTGTGGTTTCTCGCTGTTCCCTGTGTGGCCTCTGGCCAGCAGACGGGGAGGTCGGTTTGCCCTTCATTGCAACTGGAGAAGCTCTGCTCACAGGAAGCAGCGGTGGCCCCTGGCCTCAGCTCTCACATTCTTCCGCTTGTCACCAGAGCTCTGCTCCCCTGCAGACAACAGGAGGGCGCTTCAGGCGCCCAGTCTGCGCCCGCTACACGAGGGCACCCCACTTCCTTTTCACTGTCTCTCAAGCATGGAGATCGCACACGCTACAGCCTAAGAGGAAGCAGGCCTCGCCTCCCCAGTCAGCCCTCAGCGCTGGGAGTGGGGGGAGGCAGAGCTCCCAGCCGCCTCCTTGCCTCTGCTCACCCTGGCTTCTTACGGCAGCCCTTGCGATGCCAGTCGCACAGCCCTGCGCACAGCCCTGCACCCAGCCCATGCTGAAATCTCTCCAACCGAGCCTGAGGAGTCATGAACAAGCACCTGCCCACCCCTGCCATGAGACCAGTGACAGGCGGTTCAAGGCCGAGGTCCCCGGGTTCCTTAGGGAAGTGTGGGAACAGAAATGACTCAACCACAGCTACATGGCCAAAGGCCCATCCCAGCATGGTGACTATTGTAGGAAATAAAAAATAAGTGGCTAATAATGTTTATTATTAAAGCCTGTAAATAGTATGGCGCTATTACCTAACCTGCTATCACGAACAATAAAAGACACAGACGCCTGTTGTGTTTTAAATAAGCCTGGTTTCATGTGGGGCGGGGCAGGTACTAGCCTCCTGAACTACCCTGTATCTCCCAGGCCCACAGCCCATGCCAGCTGCTCTGAGCACACCTATCTGGGCTGCTTCCCGTTCACAGTCCCTGGACACTGGCACAGGCCTCCCATCTGGGCTTTCCTCAGTCCATGCCCATCTGGCCATGAACCTCTTTCTCCTCCCGTGCCTCCTCCTCCTTCCCATGATCCTCTACCCCTCCAAGAACACGGACCTTGGCCATACCTCCCTAACTCCTGCCCTGCTGAGGTGTGTAGGCATTTATTCAGCCAATCAGGGATATTTTGGAGGCTAGGGTTACAAATGTCTTTAGTTTTGGGGTATGTGACAGTCTGCAGGGGGCAAAATAGTTAGCAATCAAAAACAAAGCACCAGAGCACCCGTTACGGGAGACAGATCACAAAGCTGGGACCTGGCAGGCACCGCGTGGCTCATGGGCCGATCAATAGCTGGAGAGGTTTGCAAGCAGCTCAGTTGTTCTGAGCCTCTTCCAGGCATCTGGGTTGCCTAAGAGTATCTCTCAGGGGTCCTTAATGCTCATATATACGTATAGAGGGAGGGGCCTAGTGAATCTTGTCAGTTTTAGGAACTTCTTGAAGCTTCTGAATTGTTTACTTTCTAGGAGAACTCATTTTCCTTTAGAACAATGGATCTCAATGGGGGTTGCGATCTCTTTGGCAAACCCCTCTCTCGAAAAATATTCACATTATGATTCATAACAGTAACAAAATTACAGCTATGAAGTAGCAATTACCAGAAGTAATTTCATGGTTGGTGTGACCACAACATGAGGAACTGTGTGAAAGGGTCACGGCGTTAGGGGGTCGAGAACCGCTGCTTCACAACATGGGTGTTGTAGCAAGTTTCCCCCTATGAAGGACGGTTTCAGCTGTGACCAAACAGGTCACGTGATGCCCTCTTCCAGACTCAGCTGACACATGCATACGCCACACATGCTAGCTCACACATGTACCCCCCACTAAACCATTAAAAAAAAAGAGTCCATGTTACATTAACAGGTAGATTTTTTTTCTTTTACATCATTTTAGTCCATTTCTGTTATGATAACAGAATACCCAAGACTGGGTATTTGTAAAGAAAAAGGGGGCTGTTATGGTCACAGTTCTGGAGGTACAGAGCCAAGATTGGGTGGCCGATGGTGATGGCCATTGCCCCTTCAGTGTGCTGGCAGCTGGGAGTGCAAGCAGGCCTACAGCAGAATTAGGGAATAACTGAGATCAGTTGCTCTTGGTGAACGCCACAGCCAATAATGGCCGAGACTCCAGAAAACATGGCAAGATGGCGCAGTGAGTAAAAGGTGATTGCCGTCAAGCTGAGTTCAATCCCTGAGTCCCATGTGGTATGTACTGGTTACTTAGCATTGTGAACTTGACTCAAGCTGGAGCCACTTGGGGAAAGAAACATCAAGGGAGGGCTTGCCTCAGACTGGCCTCTCCGCCTATTTGTAAGAACTTGTGCTGGCTGCTGGTGGATGTAGGGTCCAGCCCACTGTGGGGCTTCCTTCCCTAGGCAGGTGGTCTGGTCTGTTTGAGGAAGCTGGTTGAGCTTGAGCCAGTGTGAGAGGCCTGTGGCAGTGGGCTGTATTCCTCCACAGCTTCTGCGCCAGCTCCTGTGAGCTCCAGTCTGACCCCTCTCCAGGACGGACTGCGTCTGGAAGAATGAGCCAAACCAGGCCTTTCCTCCCAAGGTGCTTTTGCTTATGGTATTTTCCACAGCCACAAGGAGCAAACTCGGACATGACGGGAGGCAAGAGCAGATGACCCCAAGTTGTTTGCTTGGGCATCGTGGCCTGTGCCTGCCCCCACATGTCCAATAGCCACGAATACCGTAGTAAATAAACAGCAGCATGTCGGCACACCTACTGTACCACAGTCTCACTTCTCACTGCCGCCTGGAGATTATGCTAATGATATAGTTTTAGTGAGAAAAATTGGCTTCCATTATTCGGAGATTTAAAATTCTCTTTGACAAATGTTATCTAAATCCCTATCTACATATTCTCTCTATAAAAATACATGAGTAGTGACTGTTACACAGATGCATGGGGGCGGTGAGCACTCACTGGTCTCTGTAAGGATAAGAGTGTTTTTCTATTGGGAGTCATTATTTTCTATTGCCCTGTCTGGTATGTTAGCAGAAATTAGGCAGAGTTATTACAAACGGGATTATGTAGCCCCCCTTTATTGATGGGGGATATGGTCCACAGGCCCTGAACCTGGGGGCGCTGCAGCCCCAGTGCTAACTTGCGTTTCTTATACGTGCGTACACACTCATGGCAGTTTACTCCACAAACCGGCAGAGTTTACGTTAGGACGGAGTGAGAACATTGTAACAGCTGTAACAGACATCTCTTCTGTCTATTATCTCCAGACACTGATGGACCTCTGCTAACTGGTCCTGCAGCAGATGAAGTCTCTGGTGAAGGGAAATTACTGTGCTCAGAACTAGATTGACGTCTGACGCAAGAGGGAACAGGGAAGTGGGGGGGTCTGGATTGGTGGGTGAGTCACCTCATTTGTATGGTCTTTATTGTTTTTTCTATTTGTCAAAACCGGAAAAAAATGATATCCATCTAGGCGTGGGATGCTATCCAGCTTGGGAGTGTTCCATTTGCAAAATCAAGAGGAAAATTGGGTCTAAATCAAAACAACAAAACAAACACAAAAACAATAGCAAAGCTTAAGCTCCAGAGTGTGGCTGTTTCAGAATACCATGAATCATCCAGAGAAAGTTTCCCATTTTTCAACTCATTTGCACTTTAGTAAACATCAAGAGAAACATCCAAGTGGTTATAGGTTTTACTTTCTTCATACATTAAATATGAGTTGGAAATTATGCACAGAATTAAGTATCACTGCTGTGGACATTCTATTGAGTGCGTCACTTTTTCATTTTTTATTTTGAGACAGGGTTTCTCTGTGTAGCCCTGCCCGGCTGTTCTGGACTCCTTTTGTAGACCAGGCTGACCTGAACTGAGATACCCCTGCCTGTGCCTCTCCTGAGCTGGGCTCACAGGCGTGCCCACCCCACCCAGCTGGCTGAGTCTCTTCAGCCGGCTGAGCTGCAGGAAGTTCACAGTCCCGCCCCGCCTCGCCTCGGCTGTTGAGACTCAAGTGTGGGTGTGCAGCTGCAGTCGGTTACACGGCCTCTGTCAGTTAACACCGGGAGGTGGTAATAAACGAAGGGGTGCAGTTTATTTTTACATTTCAAGAACTGTCACCTCGGAAATCAATTCCAGCTCAATCCCGTGCTTCATGCACTGCTGTCTCCCCCGTTTTCAGGTGATACAGTTAGGTTCCCTCCGCACGTGGCTACGGGAGTGCACTCTGTGTGTCACGAGCGAGGCTCTCTCTCTAAAGACTATCTCAGGTGCTGGAACAAGTTAGTTGAAAGTTGCCAGTGAGGGCTGCAGAGGTGGCTCAGTGGTTAGGGCACTCGCTGTTCCTATGGCGGACCCGAGTTCAGTTCCCAGCTCACAACCACCTGTAACTCCAGCTCAGGGTGTCCAACATCCTCTTCTGGCCTCTGTGGAGACACACATACACTTTTTCATGCAACACATGCACACACACACACACACACACACAAATAAAAATAAACCTGAAAATGAAAGAACGGAAAAAACTGCCACGAACAGTCAGTAGGTGACAATGGTGAAGCTTGTCGATTTGATAATCACCGTCTTTTCCTGCTCTGCTCAGTCTGTACAGCTGCTGTCCTTACAAAGCAGGGGCTTTGGGTGTTTTCAGCGGCCAGTGCTGAAAGCGTGAATAAAACCAGAACAGCAAATGAAAAGTCTAAACATTCTTTTTCTTTCTCTCTTTTGCTTTGTCTCTTCATTCGAGACATGGTCTCATGCAGTTGATCTGTTCTCA